AACTGAAAGGTGACAAAACTGGGCTAAAATTTCACTTTTCATTAAAAGGATGATTCTTACCATAGTTAATCGAGGGACTATGTTCTTAACTATGTTCTTACCAAGTAATGAAGTTCTCTTCTCCGTCTCCTTTAAAGCAATTCGATCTGTCAGTTATCTTCAAAATGAACAAGGTTGTTGCTATTTTACTTCAGCTGCAAATGAAGAGGAAACGTAGATGGAGTGTAAAATTTTCTTCTGCTTACTGTGTGCACCAACAATCAGATATAAACGGAAGAGGTAATATATAGATTTTGCCAAGCATTATTGCGGGACCCCTTACATGGACGGGTTACTAAAGTTATGGGTTACTAAGAGAATATAATTCCCGTCGCCTAAGCGTGCTTCATTGGTACTAATAACCGCAGGAGAAAGGGATCAATTAGCTAAGCTGCATGAATAAGTGTTGCTCCAAAATGCCAAAAAGTATCCCTTTGACTATACCCTTCGGCCCTTAGTCTGAACACAAGACTAGATTGTAACCAGAATCCACCATTCCTAGTTACTACGGAGTATGGTGTCTTTAGGTGTCTTTTAAACCTTAATGCAGCGAAAGCAGGTGGACCTGATGGCATTCCGAATTGGATTATTAAGAAGTATGCAGAGTCTCTAGCCTATCTTGTGTCGACCATCCTAAATGCCTCCTTTAAAGAACAAAAATTGCCGAGATCATGGAAATGCGCATGTAGCTAACGCTAAGTTTCAAGTGATGCTTGGGTAATTTCCCAAGCGTCCTAGCGCACATTCGTAAGATACACGTGTTTTCGCAAAACGTGATAAAAACGTCAGATTTCAGAGCAGTCAAGGTTGACGTGTCAGTTTTAGCTTTGTAGTGTAGAATTTTCTGAGATTTGTCGGATCTAGACCAGTTCATTACCCTCGTAGCTGGACAAAGGTAATATATATCTTAATTTCGTTCTGTTTATTGTGCCTTCGTAAGATTTTGATATATTTCTTCGAGACAAGCCGATTCGCAAACGGTTCGATTTTCTCATCAGTTTCTTTTTCATGTATTACTTTCTAGTTTCACGCTTCTTTCTGTAACCTGCTGCAGCTCATTTGATAAAGGTTCCTTGATTCGTCAGAGCGAATAGAGGAATAGTCGGTTGAGTGTGTTTTTTTGTGCAGAAAATAGAGCTAGGTTATGGGTGGGAGATGGCAATTTGAAAACACAAGAATAAGACGGTTAAAAGAAAGGATTTCTTATATACCGTGGGGATTAAGAGAGCCAATTTGTAAGACTCTTTGAATTACTTAGATGTAGGGTGGACTAAAGAGTTTAGAAACTGGTTTGGAAGCGTCCTTCTGGTACTACGTAACGATGTGTTCTCGGAATCGGTCGCCAAGTCATTTTCTGCTTTCGCCGATGCAGAACACTTTTGCAATAAAATCAAGTTATGTCAGCTACAGAGGTACATGCAAAATGATAAGTGATCTTACTGGATCACTTGGGTCCCGATATTTTCTCGACGTTATGAATGAAAAGACAAGTTTTTCATCGCATTTGAAAGTTCCTATGTTTTTGTCACGTTTGAATGGGACGACACCAAAAGTCGGAACGGTGGAATGGTGGAATGGCGGAAAATGACCCCAAATCCTAAAACACGGAACGGCGGAAAATGACCCCAAATTCTAAAACACAGAACGGATGTCAGGGCATGTTGCACGAACTTTGTACATATCACAATCAAGGTTTTGTCCTTCAAAACTTGCGAACCGTCGTCTTTCGGCAAGACCAACACATTTTGAGAAATGTTCAACGTTATGGAGTAAACGACAACTTAATGTCTTGCTCGAGAAGTTTTCTTTTGACTCAAAGGTTGAAAAACAATTGGACTCGACGGTCGAATGGATGCTCTCCACGGATGAAATCGCCTCAGAATTTGTCTCAAAGCCCAAACAGTCACTTGAGTTTGCAGTTGAATGATTAGCTTCAACGAGCGATCCACATTTTGTCGAAAGGTCAGCTTCAACGAGCAATCCACATTCTGAATCTATGATTGCAAGCTTTTCTTTCAGGCACATGTAACTCAATGGTCGAATTATTTACCTCAACGGGCATTGCTCGAAATCAATCGATATTTCAACGTGCATTTTACGTGATGTCATCACAGGGGCCCCGGATATAAAAAACACAATCGACTGCGCATGTCTCCGATCTTACATCCAACAAATTTTGGCTTTTTCTCGCTATTGTAAAGAATAGGCTGCTGCCTCGCAAGGGCTCGCCAGCAAATATTAATAAAAAATCAAAAGGAATGATAAAAGCGAAGAGTATAACGTATGAAGTCTCCTTACCTTTTTCCCGTAGCCGCTCTCTCGTTTACGGTCCTTTTAACGCTGTTTTGGCGACTTTCTTTGTAACGCGTGTGGTACAACCAGTCAACGGTAATGATAGAAAAACACAAGGCTGGAAACTTCAACCGGTCTCGAACACCAACCGTCGCCACTCGAAGGCCGATAAATTCCATAAAAGTCGACCAATCTCCCTCAAATTTCCACCCGCGAGAGCGATTTGCTAATGCATACCCGTTCGAGTGGCTTGAGCCACCTGTGAGACAAATCGTTCGATATGATTATTTATTATCCAACTACACTTAGACGAGTACAAATAACGCCATAGACGAGTACAAATATCACGCGGTATTTGTACTCGTCTATTGTAGTGTACCGGTTAAACAGGTTTTCTCGCATCGCGCAAGCGAAGAATTGGATTGTAGTTACGAAAAAAAAAAA